TATAGTCCTGATTTTAAGATGCTAACACTGAAGAATACAGATAGTTCTTGTTCTAAACTTGTTCTTGTTCCAGAAATGGCATAGAAAATTAGGATTTTGATGTAGTCCAGACTTTATATCACCCTGCCTGTTAGTTTTAGACTCACTAATTGTGTGAACACTTTTCTAAGGTTATACACAGGGCTGATAATTGTACATAGTCTTTGTGACAGAAGAGCATATTATTAGCTATTTCATCACTCCTGACCCTTCAACTCATATGAAGAGTATGCCCTTGGATTATTTGACATGGAGGATTGGTTCTGGACACCCCTCTTATTCCAGTATTTGTGTGTTTAAGTCCCCGGGAGACAGACTTCTGGCCATGCTTGTAAGAGATTATTTTGATTGTGTTGATCATTCCCTGGGGCAGTATCTTGGATTTTATAAAAGCAGGAAGTAAACTGAACACAAGCATTCATTATTACTGATTATGGATGGAATGTGACCAGCATCGTGAAGCTCCTGACTGTCCTGGGGGACCAGGCTTGTGAACCAAGTGCCTTTTACCTGCTGTCATGTGGCTAGCCTATACCTCCATGATGGGCTGTAACCTGGAACTCTGAGCCGAAATGAACTCTTCCTCCTCTAAATGGCTTTTGTAAGAATACTTTATCACAGTAACAGAGAGGGGAAAAAAGACAGCCCCTTATACAAAATGGTACTGTCATCCAGGTATGTTAGCATATGACCATTATCCTGGCTACTTGGAAGGCAAGAGCTCTTATTGAGCCCAGAAGTCTGAGAGCAGCTTGGGGAACATATCTAGATCCAATGTTCAAATCAAAAAAGAGGCATAATCTTCATAGAACCTCTACATAGATTCCTTGGTCTTTAAATCTTCTCTAATAGCAAATGCAATGTATATTCTGTGCAGAGTTGTTAGACTATACATTCTAACAACTGTTCAGGGCAGACACTTTGGGGGGGGGCAGCTAGGTGCATTTTCTATCTGCAGTCACATTAATCCTTGACTGTGGAGTCCATAAATACAGAGGGCTGAGTACACACTGTACTCATCTCAATTCCTAAAGACAAGATTGCTTATTAAAATTGATTGCAGAGCAAGGGAGATGGGCAGTGCCCACAAGTTCTTGCTGTGTGACTATGAGGAGCTGACTTCATATCCCAACATCTTCTATAAAGTGAATGGGGTTCCATGTGTGTGCCTGTAACTGCAGCACTGTGGAGGGCTGGGACAGGAGAATCTCTGGGGCTTGCCAGTTGCCTGCCTAGTGGTGGAACTTGAGCTCCAGGTTCAGGGAGAGACTCTTCCTCAGAGAAATAAGGCAGAGAGTTATAGAGGATACCTGCACTGTGTACAGACACTCACACCCCTCCACACACATGAATATATGCTACACACATCAATCACACACACACACACTCTCATATACTAAATAAATAAGTTATTAAGTAAGTAAGTGATTAAAATCAATTATATGTCCAACCCACATACCTATTCCAGGTAGTTCTCATGTCTAAAATTACCTGAATGTTTTCTCCTATTCTGTTATGATTCCCATTTGTAGTAATGGTTCTCCCATCCCACGCAGCTTTATTTCAAACTCCAGGCAGTCTTCCAATTCCTGGCAAAGCCTAGAGAGAAGACTGTAAAAGCTTCTACAATTTGAAGCGAGTACAAACCAGAATATTTTGGCTTCAAGTTTTCCTGGCAGAGGGCATCCTTTCTAATGTCTTATCAGGACAATCAGGATTAGTAACAAAACATTGAAGAAAGGAAAGTTGGATAGTTTTGAAAGATTTTTGTATCTTGCTTAAGATACAATACCCATCCTTTTATTTATTTATTATTAAGAAAAATCATTCTCACTTCACTTTGGAAAGAACCAACCTGTTAGAAACTGTACGTTCTCAAGCATTGGAACCTTCTGTTACTACCAAGGGGAAAAGGTGGATTTTGACTTTTTGCAAATGAATGTCCTCTTCGTGAAGATGGAGATGTTGATCTCACTTGAAGGGCCAAGAATTGGCATTTATATTTAAATGACTTGCTTCCCAACAAGTAGATATTCTTCCTCCTCAACTCAGTTTCCTCCCTTGCTGACAGAACATACAACTCAGTTTTTATGTTGGTAATGAAGCCCTGTTCCAGTTAACCTGGATTTAAAAGACGAAGGCTAGCCACAAGGCAGCAGGTAAAAGTACTTGGTTCACAAGCCTGACCCTGAAATCCACCAAAATATAGAGTCCGTGTATGGCATTGTTATCTCTGTACTGCCACAGGTGGAGACTGGACAGGAGAGTCACCTGGAAGCTTGAGGACCAGCTAGCCTAGAGTGCACACAGCAGCAAAAGAAGAAAGTCTGCCTCAAAAGTGGAGAAATTCAGAACCATTGTTATTCTAACTGTAACACAGAGGCTGTGGCACACGTTTGCCGCCCCCACCACACACACACACACACACACACACACACACAGAGAGAGAGA